ACTTCGCACTGACTGAGTGTTTGGAACTGGCTTATAAAGGGTACGTGGGTCGTTAGCTTGATTCAGAACAGGTGTATGCACAATCAGCGTATATGGATGATGTAATGCTAGAAGTCCGGAGATGGCGGCCTCTGCTGGCCAGCGAGGGGAATGACTGGGACCGAGTCGGTGACAAAGACTTACTGCTGTTTTTATATATTACTTTTCACTTACTATATATATCAGTTCTGAATTTTAAACAGTAAAAAAAGCCAACAAACTAATTGATACAAACAAACCTGACAATTATCATTGGATTAATGTTAAAAAAAAAAAGTTACTTTTATTTTTTTATGACATGTTGATGGATGGTTTATTCTGAATCCATAAATTCCAGAAATAACAGACTATGCAACAAAGTGCAAAGCAACTATTTTATAGTGCAGCAGTCTTTATTTATGGATAATAATTATCCTTCACAGACAGAGCTGAAAAACAAAGCAAAATAACTCTGCACTCAAGGATATCCTGTTTATCCAAAGCTAATTAATAACTCAAAGAAAGTGTGAAATTTCAAATATCAGTTCCATGTGGCTCGTGAACTTTGTAGTTCGTCCTCAGAAATGCTCATTAGCTACCTGAGAACTTGTAAACAAACATGACTTTGTTTCCCAGTAGACTAATAAATCCCTGTGAGTCAAAGCCAGCCAATCAGATTAAAGCCTGCCAGTCTCACCTCTCTTATTCTAGAAAGATTTTATTTGTGCACAACAGACATCATTCTGCCTGCGATTGTTTCATCGTTAAACTTTCTGAGCGCAGCTGCCGTTTCTGGTTTGTGAAGCTTCAGCATTCAAAGGTCTCCTGTAATCGTGTGATTCTGCCTAGTGTTGTCCAGAATGTGTTGATCTGGTTGTGGAATGATATACAGTTGAAGACAGAATTATTAGCCCCCCTTTTAATTGATATTATTTTTTTTATATTTCCCAAATGATGTTTAACAGAGCAAGGAAATGTTCACAGTATGTCTGATAATATTTTTTCTTCTAGAGAAAGTCTTATTTGTTTTATTTCGGCTAGAATAAAAGCAGTTTTTAATTTTTTAAACACCATTTTAAGGACATAATTATTAGCCCCTTAAAGCTATTTTTTTCCCAATCGTCTACAGAACAAACCATCGTTACACAATAACTTGCCTAATTACCCTAACCTGCCTAATTAAGCCTTTAAATGTCACTTTAAGCTGTATAGAAGTGTCTTGAAAAATATCTAGTCAAATATTTTTACTGTCATCATGGCAAAGATAAAATAAATCAGTTAGAAATGAGTTATTAAAACTATTATGTTTAGAAATGTGTTAAACAGAAATTGCAAAAATAAGCAGGGGTGCTAATAGTTCAGGGGGGCTAATAATTCTGACTTCAACTGTAGGTAAAGAAATGGTACAGTCTAGACTCAACGTTCCCACGCAGTTCTGATGTGCCACAGTCTGACAGCTTTTTATTAATGTCAGATTAATCGTTCATTTATGGGAAAACTCGAGACCCCTCGACTACATTCAAATTCTCATTACTTTCAGACCACACAGAGACAGATTAATTGGTTGGCCTATTTGCATGGCCCAGTGAAATAACCCTGCAGACTTATGATTAACTTTCTGCTTCTGGACAGAAACTGCAGCAAAGCATTTGACCTGCTGTCGTGGTCAGTCTCTGTTAGGTAACCGTTTTTTTTTTTTTTTAGTTAGCATTCAACGGTCACCTTGGACATCTACTCCTAGATTCAGTGAGGCAAATGGAAGTTTTAGCTCTGTTTGCTAAGTCAAGCATCACTATTGCTATTGCTTATACTTGCAATTTACAGTTTTTAACTAGCAGATGATACAATTTTAAAAAGTTAACATGCACAGCACTCTGGTGGTATGACTGGAAGTTTCTAACTTCTGTTTTTCCAAATGTCCAAGCAACAGTCACACTCTGTATCGCTCTGTATATATAAAAAGCCTCTTTTAGATTATGAAATCTGTTACATCATGATTTTTAAAGTTTTCTATCACATTTAGTCTTGTTTGTGTGACATTATCAAACATACATAATGCATGACACACCTGTCTTTGGGAATGTTTGCCCATTCCTCCTCGCAGTACCTCTCAAGCTCTATCAGGTTGGATGGGAAGCGACTGTGTACAGCCATTTTCAGATGTTTCCAGAGATGTTTAATAGGATTCATGTCTGGGCTCTGGCTGGGCCACTCAAGGATAATGACAGAGTTGTTGTGAAGCCACTCCATTGATTCCAATGGCGGTGTGCTTTGAGTCATTGTCCGGCATTGTCGCCCCAGTCCAAGAGCATTCTGAAGCAGGTTTTCATTCAGGATGTCTCTGTACATTGCTGCATTCATCTTTCCCTCAATCCTGACTAGTCTTCCAGTTACTGCTGCTGAAAAATATCCCCACAGCATGATGCTGCCACCACCATGCTCACGTAACGCCTGACATTCACTCTAAAGAGTTCAATTTTAGTCTCATCAGACCAGAGAACTTTGTTTCTTATGGTCTGAGAGTTCTTCAGATGGCTTTTGGCAAATTTCTTGCAGGAATTGGCTTCTGTCTGGCCACTCTACCATACAGGCCTGAATGGTAGGCTGCTGCACAGACAGTTGTCCTTCTGTAAGGTTCTCCTCTCTCCACAGAAGAACGCTGGAGCTCAGACAGAGTGACCATCGGGTTATTGATCATCTGCCTGACTAAAAACTGCTCTTATCCCCCGATCACTAAGCTTAGATGGCCGGCCAGCTCTAGGAAGAGTCCTGGTGGTTCCAAACATCTTCCACTAATGGATGATGGAGGCCACAGTGCTTAATGGAACTTTCAGAGCAGCAGAAGTTTTTCTGTAACCTTCACCAGCCTTGTGCCTCGAGACAATCTTGTCTCTGAGGTCTACAGGTAATTCCTTTGTCTTCATGCTTGGTTTGTGCTTTGACATGCACTGTCAACCCTGGGACCTTATATAGACAGGCGTATACCTTTTCAGATCATATCCAATCAACTGAATTTACCCCAGGTGAACTCCAATTAAGCTGCTGAAACATCTTAAGAATGATCAGAGGAAACAGAATGTACCTGAGCTCAATTTAGAATAGCTGCAAAGAAGTTCTATTCATGATCTCGCTTTACATGTTATCCGCTTGTTAAGTGTGACGTCACGCGAAGCGGCTTCCGGGTCCAAGCGCTCTATTCAACTGAATGGGGAGACTCATGAAATGGTAATAATAAACGTTTACAAAGCGATTTAATACTTTCGAAAATCACGATGGCAGTATATATGTCCATGCCTAATATCCGATGGCCAGAAAGTGATTTTTTTTTTTTTTAATTGTTAAATTTTTGGCATTTGTGATGCAGCACGCCCAGAGATTGTTGTGTACACTATGATTTTATATAAAATTAACTTTAATGTGTGATAGAAATAAAACGTGATCATAAACGAATGATTTCTCCACTCAAATGAATGGCGACTTGGACGCGGAAACAGTATTACATACGTCATCACTTAACAAGCGGATAGCACATAGTTAACGTTATTACGTCGCCACGCTATCCACGTTTCATGTAATTTTGGGTGTTTCATTTTTACTTTGTCAACTTTAACAGCAGTTCGGCAGTTTCACTTTCATTCAGCAGCATTCCATGCATGCCCCCTGTGACAAATGAGATATTGAATGTGGGTATGAACTGCTGGAAGAGTGTTGTTTAAATCAAATATGATATGCATGCCATATTTCTCAATGCAGATATCTGTAGTTCTTTCCTGACTCAGTAGGTGCAGGAAATGGTGTCAAACAGCCGTGTGTGTGTCTGTGTATAGACTGTCGCAAAATATGGTGAAAATTTTACACGACTGTTATAGTTTGATTGGGGCGTTTACGTGTCTGTACTCCACTTCAATAATACGACTAAAATCAGCATACTCCACGACTTGATTCAATTTATGTTTAGTTCGATTATGACCTTAGTCAGATTAAGGTTATCAAAAATCACTGTTTACACGGTAGACTCTTAATCAGAGTATTATCTTAATCATATTGAAATCGGATTTGGATTATTAGTGTCCATGTAAACATACTCAGTGATTAGTTTCCTAAAAATGTTTTTTTTTTTATCCTGTCAAATAGAATGTTTCTTGGTGGCTCCACAGTCCAAAGACATGGCTATAGGTAAATTAGATGAACTAAATTGGCTTTACATTATGAGTGTGATTGTATGGGTGTTTCCACTGGATTGCAGTTGGAAGGGCATGCGCTGCGTAAAACTTATGGCAGTTCATTCTGCTGTGGTGACCTCTGATAAGTCAGAGACTAAGCCGAAGGAAGATGAATGAAAACTGTATGATTGTTTCTGAAATGTTTTGGTCACCATGGTAAAATACACACTTTTGGACTTGGGGAAAAGTGATTAGAGTGAATAGCTTGAGAGTTGGGCCCCTTGTGTTCCTAAAAAAAAGTCTTTTATAAATAGACTTTGACTTGACAACAGTGTCTTGGATTTGTAACTGAATACATATACGTTACTTATCTATCTCCATATGGTGCGGTCAGTTTGCTCAGTAGCTCACCTTGTACAGTGTTGTGCTTATGCTGCAAAGTGCTTTGAGTTTCGTGCTTCCACAAAAGAGATAAAAGCAATGTAAAATTAAGGTAAAACTACAAGGAAGCAGTACAATTTTCTCTTAGGTCTGCTTTTGAAATCAAGGGAGGAAGGGTTTAGGTCAGTTGTTTGATACTGTAGGTGATCTGTATAACAAGTGTGGCCTTCACCCAAGAAGGATGTGTAGAAAACTGACGCACCATAAGTAAAATATTTAATATTGACAAAAATGTAGAGAGTGCCCTCTAGTGGATTTGTCATCTGGAATGTGCAACTCAACACACCCAGGGCATTGTAATGTAAAAATGTAGGCCGAGGTACATATTTACAATGAGCCCGGGTTGACTGATTCCTGTCTTCTCTGGTTTTCCTGCAGGATCCCAGAAGCAAGCACAAGTTTAAGATCCACAGCTATGGCAGTCCCACATTCTGCGACCACTGCGGATCGCTGCTGTACGGCCTCATCCACCAGGGCATGAAATGCGACAGTGAGTGAGAAGCTCCATCAGCCCAGGGTGGAAGTTGCCCTTTTGCACTCACACAAGGCCATCTTCTCTTAAACCTGTAACAAAATAGAACAGAACTGGCCTCAGAACAGTGTGAAAGGGCAGCTCCTGCCTCAGGCCTACACTCCAACTCGGTAACATTTCACAATAAGGTTCCATTGGTTAATGTTAATGAATGTATGTACTAACATGAACGAACAATGCATGTATTGTTGTATTTATTGCACTTTAGGTTACACTTTATTTTAAGGTGTCCTTGTGATTCATTTAACTACTGAGTAATATTTATTAACTACAAGTACTTACTATATGGTTAGGGTTATGGAGCTAATAATATGCCAAAACAATCTGAATTTGAATCGTTTTAATTTAAATTATTGACTTTTTTTTATTTACATGCTGTTAAAATAGTTTTTCATTTACTTATTGGAATTTTAATTAATTAAATTTTTGTGAGGTTTATTTATAAACTAGTTTCGAGAGGATCACGTGCTTATGATTTATCACGGCCGTTCTCGTATTAGCTAATCATTATCTGCCAATCATATGAGCCCTAAGCTACTATAAATAACCACAGTTTTCAGTCCACTTTCTCTTCGTTTGGAAGAAACGTCCTCCCCAATTCTCCTCCTTTACCATTGATTGGGCGGCACGGCGGCCCAGTGGTTAGCACTCTGAGCCCTACAGCAAGAACACTGCCAGCCCTGGTCCTGCCAGGCTGGTAGGCATTTCTGTGAGGAGTTTGTATGTTCTCCCCATGTCCGCGTGGGTTTTCCCCGGGTTCTCCGGTTTCCTCCCACTATTTAAAGATATACATCTTGCATCAACAACAATCAAGCACTTGTCTAGCCCCTTTTCTCACATGTTCTCTTAGCTACCGCAGCCGGGGAGTTCTGAAATCCACCGAGCTCAAGCTTCCCTTTTCAAACAGGAGCAAACCCGAGGCTCGAGGATCCCTTGAGCTCGAGGCTCTCTCTTGAGACAGCATGCCAAACAAGCTTTTGATAGATCATCAGCTAAGTGTGTAACTCTTGAAATACACATGTTTTTCAACTTCAGATTGTTTGTGTACTGAATTAAGACTGCAGATATTGGGTTTATAAAAATACAGTTTCAAATTATCAAGAAATTCAGAACATCAAATTCAGTATTCTAAAATTCAAAACCAGAAATTCAGATCGTGAAATTCAGATTCAGCAGAAAGTAGGTCATCAACTGGGAAAAGTAGACGATCACAGAGAAGTCAAACTAAGCATTTTGGCCATTCACAGAGCTGCATGAGTTTAATGATGTATGTGAGGCTCAGGAGGAAACCATTGTTCTGCAAACTGACTATCAGGGGTCAGCTATTTTCAGTAGTTTGTGTAACAAATATATACATGCTTCACTGAACCAAATTCATATATTTAAATCAATTACATCTCATTGGTTAATCAGTTTAATTTAAGTTGTTTTGGTGTTCTGAGTGATAAAGAGCTGATGGGTTATTTCAGCAGACACCTTTACCAAAGTCACATTTTTCCAGGTGCAACTGTGGTGAATGACATATTTGCATGTTCACACTTCTTCATGAAATTATAGAAGATGCTATTTATTACAATATTCTATAGTACAGCATAGCATAGCATATAGTATTTTAGGGAAATTTCTAATTATATGTTTGCCCTAAGCCCATTATCAACACTGAAATGCTGCCTCTTTTAAATATCATCTATTCACATCTAAGATGTCCTATTTAACCTTACATTTATATTTATTTGAATGATCTGATTTTTCCATATATTTAAAAAAATTTTTGGCTAAAATACATTGAAACCATCATTGTTCATTCAGAGTCGTTCCAATTTGAATTAAGTGACTCACTATGGATGACTTGCTCAGATTTTTTGGTAACGTCTTTTGATAAGTGCTTAAAACTTTGTTTTAAATGGTAACAACATAAGAGGTGTTAAAAGACTATATTGTTGTGAATAGAGTAGGGTCTAAGCCACAAGCCACTTGATGAGTTTTCAACGTAATGTTTGTATTATGTGACCTGAAACCAAAAGCAGCCTTTCCCATACACTTAAAGCTAAAATACATATGAGTTTAATTTTACATTAGGCTATATGTGTCAGGGTTCTGCCACTCTGGTCTCATGAATTCTTGTTTTGGTGGCAGAGTCCAGACACTAGCTCTGTCTTGTCCCGTTTCTGTCATTGTGTGTCTCTGTGCGCGCGCGCCATCGTGGGTGTGCACAGAGCGTGCGCGCTCCCGCTTGTTGCGGCCGTGTGGGCTCTGGGTGCCTCAGACAAGCAAGCTCTTGTACTAGTGTTTGTGTTTTGTTCTATCGGCATTGCGCTGTTTCATTCTCAGCGTCTTCGTCTAGTTGCTTTTGGTTTTGGTTGATGCTGAGATGAAACATGCGTGTTGCATGTGTGTGAGCGAACTTTAAGGTGTTCATTTATCGTGTGCTCGTGTCTTGCGTCTATTTGTGTTGTCCAAGCACGTGGCTATGTGTTTACATTATGGCCGCGTGCTTCCGTCTTGTCCTGTTATTGTGAACCCATTATTAGTTAATTATGTTCATCTGTTTGTGTGTTAATTTACTACAGTTTATAATCCCCTCATGTCTGCTGTCCTGTGCCAGTTCGTCGTCAATATTTCCCTATCCTGTGATATCCAGTCCTGTTTGTCCTGCCAGCCCAGTCAAGTTTGTTTTTTGCCTTTTTATTCTTGTTTTTCCCCTCTGGGTAGTTTGTTTTGCCTTTTTGTTTTATTTGTATTTTATAATAAATCCTTATTTATCTGCAACTGGGTCCTCGCTCCTTTTTCCCCAACACCGATCGTGACAATATGTAGATTAAAAAACATGTATTTTTAACTAGTTCCAGACCAAATTCTCCCCACCCTAACCCCACTCTTGCAAGTCGCACCCTGTAATTCGTCCATAATTATGAATCAAGCAGAGGCGAGGGAATCTCAGCTTGACTTTTCAGTGATCTTCTACTATTCCCTGTTGATGACCCCTGACCAACCTTCTGCTAAATCTGAATTTCTGGTTTTGAATTTAAGAATATTGAATTTGATGTTCTTTGTTTTTACAAATTAGGTGCATGCAGTCTGTGAATTCAGAACACAAAAAAAATGCGTCTATAAAAAAAAAATGCAGCCATAAAAAATTCTGTTGTCTTACATTTCAGATGTTATGCATTCAAATAAAGAAATTCAAATTTAAGTTGAGAAATAAAAAATAAAAAAAATTAACAACATATAAAAAATCTGATTTATTAAATTACACTTTTTTGACACAATTCAAATTTAGATTGTTTTGGCAGATTATTAGCTCCATATAGGGTTAGAATGTGGTTTAGGTTTATGGTTAGTTGTTTGTAATTATGTGTAATTAATCGTAATTACTATAGTAAGTACATGGAGCATGTGTAACAAGGACACCCTAGAATAATGTTAATTTAAAGCACAACTTTGAATTTTAACAATCTAATAATAACAGCTGAACTATGATTAATAAATGCTGTATTATTAATAGTTCATGTTAGTAAATAAATACATTAACTAACATGAACTACTGGAACCTTATTGCAAAGCGTGACTCAAAATTTATGGCGTTCTGCTTTTTCTCATTCATAATGAGGTCAAGTGTGGTTAAATCTGTAGCTTGCATATACTGAATGCCTGGTTCGTTTGAACCGGAATACTTCCTTTCAAATGCTGTGGCTCTAATGGGAATGTTATCACAGGTTTTAATGAGAACAGATTGAAGTAATTTGTGTGGGAATAGTAGCACGTTTATGCAATCTGCTCATCCACACCTTTCTAAAACGACATACAACTGCAAATTCCCATTTCCATGTGTCAACTTTAGACTCTGTCTCACACACAAATTGATACACCTTTCTCCATGAAGCACATTGTAAAAACACTCCAAAAAAAAGGTCTGTAGTTCCATTAAAATATGCAGGATATTGAATGTTTTGAGTGATTTATCAGTGGGTGTTATTTAAAAGGAATAAAAAGTCAAATCTAACACTTGTCAAATGTCAATTGTAATAATTTCCAACTCTGTGAGTGCAGGAGAAGCAATTTGGAACACTTAGATTTTTACATGGTACAATACATAACACAATTCAAATGATTCTCAATAGAAACCAAGACCTACCTAGTAGTCAAAGCTGACACCAAGACTCTTTACAGAGGGATGTATTTTCCCAGGAAGCAGTGACAGATTGCCATTAGAATCAGAACCTTTTTGCCAAAAACAATGAATTCACACTCGTCTTCATTCAGTTGGAGAAAGTTATTTGCTAACCAACATTTCACATCAGCCAAACAATTAATCAAAGCCTGAAGGGAGGATTGATCCCTAGATTTTATAGGGAAGTAGATTTGAGAGTCATCAGCATATAGATGGCATTTTATGCTTTTCAAAAAATTTTCTTAACGGAAGTAAGTAAAGGGAAAACAAAACAGGATTGAGCCCTGCGGAACCCTACACATTAATTGAATGACAGATGAAGAAGAGTTTCCCAAACTAACTGAGATAGTTCTATCCTTCAGATCTGAGGAGAACCAATCCAAGGCCAGACCCTGGATGCCAGCGTGTTCTCTAAGCAGTGAGATCCAACAGTACAAGAACAACAAAGCTACCTGAATCAACCTCGAATGAAATATCGTTTAAGACCCTCAATAGAACATCCAAATGTATTGGATTGACTTTCATTGAAAGTCAATACATATATGCATACATACATACATACATACATACATACAAAGGTAATCTTTGTGTGTTTTTTTATATGAGAAATGAAAGAGGTGTAGCAAACAAAACACACACACACACACAAACATATGCATGTGAAGTGAAAAGTCATATTTAATAGACCAAGAACATTTTCACAGTATTTCCTACAGTCTAATAGTTTTTATTCTGGAGAAAGTCTTAGGCTATTTATTTTAGACTGGCTGGAGTAAAAGCAGATTACATAGGCCTAATATGTCAATACAATAAGCCCCCTAAGAGTTTCTTTATGTCAACCAAGCATTTGTCACTCAAAAGCATCTTGCTATAGCTACTTAATTTATAATGTAGCCAAATGATTTCTTGAAAGCTTTCTTGCTGTATAAGTGGTTTATTTTGTCATTCTTTTATCATTTACCAATGTTGATTATACAGATTTATATTTTAAATACACCATTTTAAGTAATGAGCTGTTCATTTTCTCTGATTCTGACCATCTTTTTGTAAAAACAGTGATATTTCAATTGAATCCACTCCCACATAAAAAAAAATACCTTGTAAAAATAATGTTTTTGAACCATATAAAAAAAAAAATAGCTTATTTAAATTCTGTAGTTGCTCTTGTATCACAACAACTATACACATAACCAGGGCCAGACGGAATCTGCGGACGTTATTTGCCATTTCTGCGGAGAATTTTGGTAAAAATCTGCGAATTTCTGCGGAATTATTTTGGTAGTATCCAGCGGAGTATCATAACTAAAACCTTAATATATTAAATAAAAAGTAAAAAATTACTGAATAAAAACTGAATAAATTCAGATTTACACATTTACTCAAGTAAATAAACAGAATTAATAATGGGCTAAAAATCTGCGGAATTCCGCGGAAAATCTGCAAAATTCTGCGCGCGCAGATTCCGTGTGGGCCTGCACATTATCCTCCATCCCAATATTGAAAAAACACTATAATATATACTCTAAATCACCATAGTATTTTTTCATGAGGTCATTCGTCCGTGATAGAAAATGCGAAAGTGATCTCCACCACTGGTGACGTTTCCAGGCAGCAAAGCAGCGATATTCTGGAAGTGTCCGACTTCTGATGTAATTTTTGAGCCCTCCTCTTACTGCAGCCGCCTGCTCTCGTTTACATTGCAGTCAAGGCAAGGTGCACCTCAAATGAGCCTATGGCTGATGGAACATACTACCCGGCCGTTAAAAAAGGACGCTCTATACAGTATGAATGTGAAAATTATGAATGGAATTCGGACGTACTACATCCGCCTGTTTGTCATGGTCATGTGACCTACCTGCGTCAGTTGCGTTGCCTCACTTCCATACATGAATTCTCTAACGGGGCATTATGGGATAGTGCAGCGTGCATGGGATGCACACTCCAGAATCTCGCCGGAAGTAGTAAGTCATCTGGTAACTTCTCGCCTACTGATTTTCGAATTCTTTGAATTCAGACATACTCGGCTCGCCTACTGATTTTAGCGTACTATATAGTATGGAAGTATGCGGTTTCAAACACAGCCTCTATTTTAGTTCCAACCCAAATTAAACACACCTGAACCAGCTAATCAAGCTCTTTCTACGTATACCAGAAACTTCCAGGCAGGTGTGTTGAAGCAAGTTGGAGCTAAACTGTGAAGGACAGCGGCCCTCCAGAACCAAATTTGGACATCACTATATTAAATATTCGAAATGTAAAGTGAAACCGTTTGTGAATCATTTATGGGTGATTTTTGCTGTTTAATTATGAAGCATTTACTAGTGTTTCTCTGTTTTGTTGTCAGCCTGTGACATGAACGTTCATAAGCAGTGTGTGATGAATGTGCCAAGTCTGTGCGGGACAGACCACACTGAGCGCAGAGGACGAATCTTCATGAAGATCGAGGTCAGCGGAGACAGACTTCATGTCACAGGTCAGAAAACTGCACGCACTGGGGAAATCCCCAAAATAGCCATTTCTGTTAAAGATATAATAATAATATCACCCTGTATGGGTTTATTTACTCACATTATATGGATGATTATCAAATTAAATTCCATTCGTCTGCATGAGATGAAATTTCACCATAGCTATTTTCTAAATACAGTCTTTTGTACTCTTAATTCCACCAAATTGGCTTGACTAAACTTGTGTTGGCACCAGCATGACAGCTAACAAAATTGTATCACACAGCAGGAAGAAGGTCACAAATGGTGACTATTTATCTGCAGTCGAAAGCTTTTTATAGTTTGATAAAAGCTTTAAAGTTTCTGATTGTTATATAATGCGATACAGTGATGACTGAGAGATGTGCAAATTACAAATAAATCCAGCATTTCAGCAAAGTTTTGATCATGTTCATAATTTGGACACAACAGGTTCTATGGGTTTAACCCTTATGTACTGTTGGGGATGTTTTCATCTACTCTGGGGTGATTTTGAGTCTTAAAGGTTCAGGACACCCTGGAGAACTTTTTTTTTTATATTAACAGATGTGTGTGTTGAGCATCAGTTAAGACAACGTTAGCACCTGTCAGCTTTAATTGTGGGGAAAACTGGATAATTTTGAGCTTTTGTCAGCTAATTTCAGCTTCCGGGTTTAAAATGATTTTTGGGGCGGGATCAAAATCGGCGACGTAGCGCAGCACTGCAAGTGCAATGATGACGCGTCGGTTTCTCATTATTATTCATAGCAGAGTTTTCTTATCCTATGAGAAGAGCCGGCTGCTTAATTATTCATGAGACCTGCCAGAGTCAAGCCCGAGCTGTGAGACACGTCACGGACCCAAGCACAGTATTTAGCCGTTCATGAAGGCTCGTATGTGTTTGTTTGCATGATCCACGGGGTTTGTTGCATGTTTTCCCCCGCGATCTTATCAGGGCCGATCATACAGCAAAGCTGTGTGAGTGCTGCAAGCATTTTTGTCAGGAGAGCAGCACGAGAATTAGAGAATGGCGGACACTGTCTTTCATCAGGAGTTCATTCACATTCAGACACATCGCCGTGCTGCTGTGTTTGCCTAAATTCTCCAGATTACCAGCAGGGCTAATGGTTAAAATAGACAGGTCAGGAGACCTGCTGCATACGGGGTCTGCTGGATACTGGGATTGAGGGAGAAGTCCCCATTTATACGGTTTACATGAACATACTTATCTTTATAATTATATGAATTGTGGTTATGTGTGTATGAAATTACGAATAACAAATGTAGCAGGACATTAAATCACTATTTATTTATTTGCATTTTAACTTTGTAAACTATAAACTCATGCGTCTCATGGTTTGTCTCATTTTGTGAGCTAGCTTTGTTCACTCCCCTTCTCCCCTGCTGGCCACGCCCACTCCTGCCCGATGCTCGCGGAGCTCCACGCCCATTAATCATGCATCTTTTGAAAAAATTCTGAAGTAGACTTTAACCGAAAGTGGGGGGTGTCATGGCCCTTTAATTTGGCCATACCCCTTTCTTTGTTTCAGCTAGCAGAATGTGTTTTGGTGATCTTAATTTGACACATATTTTGAGAAAATGCTTTGAATGAAAAAAACTAAACAAAAAAACTTTGAAGCCAATTTTAAAAAACAATACACTCTGGGCAAATTTACTGCCCTTTTGTAATGTTCGGGATGAAAACGTCCACTAAATTCAACTGCTTAAAAATGCATCAGATTTATATACATATACATATATATATATATATATATATATATATATATATATATATATATATATATATATTTATTTATTTTTATTTTATTTTTTTTTGCATAAATCTGTTAATCAACCTCAGTCCTGATCAAAACTACTAAATTGCTTAGAAAATTACAGGATTTTAACTCTTTAATTGCCAAATTCATAAATTATATCACTGATTTTGTGAAAAAGATGACACATTTCAATGTAAAAAAGTAGTTGTGGACTGTATTTTTACATTTGAAACAACATTGCCTTTGATGCATTGTTTTTGATTTATTTTCATTTTGTCTCCCTAATTTACAGTTAATAGCTGTTTTTGCCCCATTGACTGCCATTATAACCACTTTTTCTTGATTACAAAACCTTGTAATCCTACAAAAACCTACAAAACTTGATTGCTGGTGGTTTTCCATGTTGGGATGAGGTCAAATTTGTAATGTTTACTGTTGATCAGTGCTTAATTTGTGAATTGCGAGGTCCCGGCATGTTGCGAGGTCCCAGAATGTTACCCGAGGATGTAGAGGTGTCTTGGATGTAATTGAAGAGCAGGGTATGGGGGTTTGTTGCGGACAAAAGTAAAGAGGGTTAAGGAGTTGCGTCATATTCTGTCTCTGAGGCTCTCCGTGCCCTGTTATTCAAACGAATAAGGAATTATGGATTAGATCAACTGGTCTCTGAACACAATTAACACCATCTTCTTGACGAGAAGTTTGGGCTTGGGAGAGCCCACTTGTCCTGCCGGGACGTTTGCAGCTGGATAAATGATAGACGGGTGGGAGAAATGGTGCATTGTGTGCCTGGCTGCTCTGTCCTTGGAGGATATTGAAGATATCTATCTATTCAGAACTTTGATAACAGGGTTTCTGCTGATGGACATATGCGGGGCCCTGGGGAAATGACGATTGATGAAAGTGGTCAGTGCTGCTCAAAACCCCACCAAGCTAGCCGACTTGATAGAAACGGTGGTGAGCAGGGTTGCTACTAAACAGACTATGATCTTAGACCACAAATTGGAAAACATCGGGGTGAAACTAGCAGCTTTGCAACAAGATTTGTCCAGACCTGGAGACGAGTGACGGACATTAAATATCTGTGAAATTGGCAGATATCGACCTAAATTTGAAATCCTTTTCTTCTCTATCGGCTTCCCTGTGTTTTCTGGCTTCAGCTGGAGAAAAACAACTTCTCCCGGATAGCAAGATTAGGAGACGCTCTGAAACTCCTGCTCCCTGTCAAGGATACCTGTTGGACTCTACAGGCTTATACACACACATACACAGCTACAGATAGACAATCACCACCTAGCCCCTCATCCCACGCCTTCGTGTGCTTTTACCCACTGGAGGAGGTAGGTGGGTCTGTGACCAGCGCTTTTTAGCTGCAGGACTGGATGCCCGCCCTCTCTTATTGCAATGTTATGTCTATGTGTTTATGTGCTTGACTGCCGGGTTTTTTTTCTCCCTGATCTCACACTGCACCAATTCAAGAGCAAGGTGAGAGGGAGTTTTTTTTCCACCTCCCTCTCCTGAAATGTATCTTACTTCCTTTTTCTAAATGCTACCTCCTGTTGACCTGTATTCCCCTGAAATGTGATGTATAGATAGATAGATAGATAGACAGACAGACAGACAGACAGACAGACAGACAGACAGACAGACAGACAGACAGACAGACAGACAGACAGATAGATAGATAGATAGATAGATAGATAGATAGATAGATAGATAGATAGATACATAGATAGACAGATAAATAGATAGACAGACAGACAGACAGACAGACAGACTAATTGATTGATTGATTGATTGATTGATTGATTGATTGATTGATTTGGAGTATAACAGCAAATTAAAGTCTGTGTCTGTGTCTAAGAGTGTGAGAGTGACCTTTGCTAAATCAAAATATGCATCTCAGCTTTCAGAACTACACGGAGTAAACAAAAACAAGACTGTGTATTTATGCAGCATCAAATGAGCTTATAATTGAAATCAATGTGGCAAAAACAGCCACCAAAAATGAAAATCTAACAGTGCATCAAACCAATGTTGTTACTAATCATTCACATGTCCAAGACCGTGATAAAAGGTAAAAACAATCCAGTCCACAACTAATTTTTTATATTGAAAATATATCATTTTGTGTGTGTGTTTTTAACCATTTCAGTGACATCATTTGTGAACTTAGAAATAAAAGAGTTAAAATCCTGTAATTTTCTAAACAATTTAGTAGTTTTGATCAGAACTGAGGTTGATTAACAATTACCCAAATAAATTTAAATACAAAATATTTATCAAATGCATTTTTACAGCAGTTTAATGCAGGGGATGTTTTCATCCCTAACATAACAAAAGGCTAGTACATTTGAACACTACACAAGGGTTGAAACCCAAATACTTAAGTTTATGTCAAACTAAAGGGTCCACGTCATTATAATAATAACTGACTTAATATGTTGCTATTTTTATCTGTTTGCATGATCCTTAGAAATCCGCATTAGTCTTATTACTCAGATTTTATAATACTTTGATGATGTTTTTCCACAAACTGACAGCTAAAATTAAGCTGCCATGACCGACCATGTGTTTAGGGTTGAGTGGGTTTAGTGTGTGTGTGTGTGTGTGTGTGTGTGTGTGTGTGTGTGTGGTCTTTGTATTTCTCGTGTTATATGGACCAAATGTCTTTTCAAGTAGCAAGATCAGTCATTGTTGACCTTGTTGGGATGTGTTTTGGTCTCCATGAGGAAGACGGCTCATAAATCCCACAGATTGAAGTATTTTGAAAATGTAGAAATGCAGAATGTTTCCTGTGAGAGTTGAGTTTGGGGGTAGGGCTTGGGTAGGACGATGGAATATGCAGACTGTACATTATAAAGATCATTATGGATATGTGAAGTCCCCATAAAGCACAAAAACATGGGTCTCAGGCCCCGTTTACACTAATGCGTTTTAGTTTGAAAACGCATAAGTTTTGCTACGGTTACGCCAACCGTCCACACTACGCCGGAGTTCTCGAGCGCCGAAAACGGAGCTTTTTGAAAACGCTGGAAAGGCCGTTTTCATTCTAAAACGCTGCTGCTCCGTCTCAGTGTGGATGGGGAAAGACGGATACATCTGAAAACGGAGGCGGGGCTGCAAACGTTCGCCTATCTGATTGGGGCTTTTCCTGAATATTAAGTAGCCCACACACAGTTTAGTCTCGCATCCTCTTCTTGTAAGTTAAGACTTCGCAAGTTTGATCAAGA